CTGAAGGCCGCCTCTGCATGAAGGAACGGGATTAAACTATACACCAGATTACATCTTAATTATTCTATTTTTTAAGTATTACAAATGATATTGCCATTCTTCGCCTGTCACGTGATGTAATTCTGAACGAGAATGTTGTTCCAGCTTGTCTACCTACAGATACAAACAATAAATATGCTGGACAGTCAGCTATTGTTTCAGGTCGACACTTGGCGACATATACCCACAATAAATGAGACTTCATAGACGACTATGCAGAAGTTATACTGTTGGTTTACTAATTTCCTTATTTCTTTCTTGGCCATATCTAGGCCTTTAAAAAACTTTAGTTAAGGCAGAAAACTTAATCCAACCTTGGGATCGACTTATTTCAAAAGCTGCATGTCGTCTTTACAGTTTCATCCTTTCAGCCCTATAGTGTTTTACAAGTTTATATATTACTATCTTGAGAACCTAGCTTTGCTGGAAGATTTCCCTATGAAAGCAATCCACTCAATTTAGAAATGTTAAAATAGGCTAAGCATATTCCCATAGTTCAACTGAGTTCACCAATCAAAATTTAGCAAACAAACAGACAGACCAACAGAGAAACAGAGATTACTATTTATATATATATATATGTTTTGAAGGCTGGGGTACAACATCCTCTGGAGGTTCTTCTAGTCCTATACTCAAGGAAACTACTGTACAGATTGTATCCTCATCAGATCCTACATGTACAAAGGTACAGTATTCAAGGAAACTATTGTACAGATTGTATCCTCATCAGATCCTACATGTACAAAGGTACAGCATTCAAGGAAACTACTGTACAGATCGTATCCTCATTAGATCCTACATGTACAAAGGTACTGTATTAAATGAAACTGGTGTACAGATTGTATCCTCATCAGATTCTTCATGTACAATGGTACAGCATTCAAGGAAACTATTGTACAGTATTGAAAAAGTACAGTATTAAATGAAACTGGTGTACAGATTGTATCCTCATCAGATCCTACATGCACAAAAGTACAGCATTCAAGGAAACTATTGTACAGATCGTATCCTCATTAGATCCTACATGTACAAAGGTACTGTATTAAATGAAACTGGTGTACAGATTGTATCCTTATCAGATCCTACATGTACAAAAGTACAGCATTCAAGGAAACTATTTTACAGATCGTATCCTCATTATTAGATCCTACATGTACTATGGTACAGCATTCAAGGAAGCTATTGTACAGATCGTACCCTCATTAAATCATACATGTACAAAGGTACTGTATTAAATGAAACTGGTGTACAGATTGTATCCTCATCAGATTCTTCATGTACAATGGTACAGCATTCAAGGAAACTATTGTACAGTATTGAAAAGGTACAGTATTAAATGAAACTGGTGTACAGATTGTATCCTCATCAGATTCTTCATGTACAAAGGTACAGTGTTAAATGAAACTGGTGTACAGATTGTATCCTCATCAGATGCTTCATGTACAATGGTACAGTACTAACTGAACAGTACTATCTTTGCAACCTAATAACTTCCACCAGAACAAGATCTCAAAATAGGACCTGCTGAATAAAAAAGATTTTTTTTGAGAATGGTTGCAAGAATAGAAACATTGAAAACCTAAGATTGGTAAAAGAAAAAGAGCACGAAGTCTTGTAAGCCTTTGTAATATATATATTTATATATATACATGTACATATAAAAATTACTTGCTGAAAGGCCCGAATTTGCCCGTGAAAACAAAAATTGGAAAAGTTAAAAAAAAAATATTTTGAAAAATAAAAAATTCAATTGTTTTAGCCTATGTCACCCACAGGCTACCCATGAGTGTCCCATGTCAGACCATTCGGTCCAGCTGTTTGGCCGGCCAGAGGGAACATATATACAAATGTCTTGTTTTATTTTATAGATTATTATTTAGATTAGATAATAGATTATATAGTTTGAAATTTAAAACTAATTGTTCCAATTTATTAATGTGTATTTATATCTAGTATTTATATCTAGTATTTATATCTAGNAAAAACGCATAAATAACTTCCAGTATATATATTTCTTATAACTTATTACTAGAGGGTTCAGAACATGAGTCTATCTCGATATCACACGTGTAGACTGTCAGTCAGTACAATGCCCCGTACCCATTCTATCTCACTCCGTTGAATCTTGTGGAACTTGTTTAAGGCGGGCAGGCATCGTCTTCCACATTACTCCCCCCCCAGCGGAGAGGCCAGAGGATGAAGTCGGAGGCAGAAGGCGGAGAATGAAGGCGGAGGCTAGTGATAAAAACTTGTTTAACATTGAAGCCTTGGGTGTAAAATATTTGGTTTTAGGTTAAAAGTTACTCTTTTTCTCTTTGGCGGAGCAACGGCGGAGGCTTCTGCAACAGCTTTCCGAGGTCGTCCTCTACATCTAGGGGGATCAGGAGGAGCTGGAGGAGGTTGGCGTGGGGGTCTGCCCCGGCGTGGGGGTCTGCCCCGGCGTGGAGGTTCTACTGGAGCCTCATCATCTGCTGTGAAAGCTGGTTTGAGGCGTTGAACTGAAACCATTTCTACTTTCTTGCAAACTTGGATCTGAAAGGTTTTAAGGGAGTGGGCTAAAACCTTGTAAGGACCCTCGTAGAGGGGGGCTAGAGGAGCAACATGTCCATGCAGGAATATTATGACGAGGCAGAACAGGTTGAAAACCAGACATAGAATTTTTAAGATTTTCTAGAAAAGATCGGTCGGGGGATCTTGTGCTTGAAATTAAGTAGGGAGCAGAAGAGAACCATCCTGAACTGGAACAGTGCAGTGGCAAGTTGTTCTTTAGCTAATTCTGAAAAATTAATCAATGAAGAAGTTGGAAAAGGTGATGGAATTGTTGAAACTGACACCTCAGACACCTCCAACACCTCAGACACCGCCGACACCTCAGACACCTTAACCCCAGGGGAAGGAGGCAGTTGTGGAGCGGGAGGATATTTCGGAGCAAGAGGAGATGCTGGAGGGGGACGAGGAGATTGTCAGCCACTACATTTGCAGCTCCAGGAGTAGCCGAGGTATAGCTTGTTAGCTCCAGGAGTAGCTAAGGTTAGCTTATTAGCTCCAGGAGTAGCCGAGGTTTAGCTTATTAGCTCCAGGAGTAGCTGAGGTTTAGCTTATTAGCTCCAGGGGTGGCTGAGGTTTAGCTTATTAGCTCTAGGAGTAGCTGAGGTTTAGCTTATTAGCTCCAGGAGTAGCTGAGGTTTAGCTTATTAGCTCCAGGAGTAGCTGAGATTTAGCTTATTAGCTCCAGGAGTAGCTGAGGTTTAGCTTATTAGCTCCAGGAGTAGCTGAGGTATAGCTTATTAGTTCCAGGAGTACCACAAACTATCGGCGTATAACGCCATTTCACTAGGGTTTTTGAATTCCCTGGAGACTAGATGGTCCCTCATCTCGACAGGCAACTTCTCCAGAAATAAACCTTGGAACAGGCAACCTAGTTTCTCGTCCTCTGGGAGAAGGGCCAACATGGCGGCCATGAGACTGCTCGGGCGTCGGTCTCCCAGCCCAGGGTGATGAATTAGTTTGGAAACCTTCTGCCAGCGTGATAGAGTATACGAGGAGACAAGTTTGGCCTTTAAATCCTCGTAAGGGGTTTCTGAGGAGGCAGCAGAACCCATGATCAGGCCGCGTACCGAGACCATAATCTTCTGGGGAAGTTTCTGTATGATGTGGTCGAATTTGGTTATTGACTGTGTGATTTGGGCGTTTCTGAAGGCCGCCTCTGCATGAAGGAACCACAGGTCGGGGTCCTCTGTCCAGAAATCCGGGAGCTTGACGGAGACTTTGGCGACGAACTCGGTTGGAGTTTCTTTCTGGTCGTTCTTGATGTTCGGTTGTATCACTTAATGTTCAAAGTTCAAGAAAATCACGAAACTGGATAGCGTTTAACTGTATGTTCATAGTCGGGGGTCACCAATATAGAGGACGTGGGTCAGACTCTAATAAAAACGCATAAATAACTTCCAGTATATATATTTCTTATAACTTATTACTAGAGGGTTCAGAACATGAGTCTATCTCAATATCACACGTGTAGACTGTCCGTCAGTACAATGCCCCGTATCCATTCTATCTCATTCCGTTGAATCTTGTGGAACTTGTTTAAGGCGGGCAGGCATCGTCTTCCACAATACAATCAATTGGAAAAAATCGAAAAAGAAAATCTGTTAATTTTTAAACGAAGATTTTTGTTTCTACAGGGAGACAGTGGCGGCCCATTGGTTGTGAAAGAAGATGGAAGGTGAGTAATAAGGAATAAATTTTGTCAATTTCCTTCCTTGTTGTAAAGGAACCATAATCGAAAATGATCAATTTTGAGTATAGACACTAGGATTTCACCATCATTTTTGCTGAGACAAAGTTTTGATAGTACGGTTGGACGTCTATTTTGTTATTTGTTTTTGACATAAAATCCTTCTCTCTTCTAGAGACTGCGTTGTAATTTCAAATATGTTTCCATTAAAAGAGGGTCATGTTCGATTCACAACAATAGTCTTTAAACCTTTCTCTAATCAATATTGTGATGGATAACGTAGTTTTTAGAGCTTAAAAACTGGTTAATTTACTTCGTTGTTTCGAAAAGAAAATGTGCAATCCACTTTACAGAGAAATCATAATTGATTTATCTAGGTATACTGTAGTAGGAGTTGTTTCCTATGGTCGGGGATGTGCTACTCCAGGCTATGCAGGAGTATATGCTAGAGTTACAAACTATCTATCCTGGATCAATCCAATTATTGCGGTAAATCGAGAGAATTGTCACATACCGTTTCTAGATTCCTGGGGTAAAATTTGGCTAAAAAATACCCAAAAAAAAATTCTGATAAAAATGAGTCCAATCATATCTCAAGAGGCCTTAATGTAGCTAAGGTTTGATAATAAATGTTCTCATAGTTCAAGAAACCAAGCAGTGTTTGTTTCAGGACGGATTCTGCGGTGACAGCACCAGCAGCAGCAGTAGCACCAGTACTGCTTCTACTACAACAACTACAACAGCAGCTCCAGTTACTAAAGCACCTAGCCAAGGTTTTTCAATTTGTAACATAAACTATATAAGTATCTACAGTAATAACCAGAAAACAATTGAATATAAAGACGACAAATTATAGCAATACTTAATTGCATTTGATGATGTTACAAATATTTTTACTAGACACTTATGAAATCACTAATTTAGTGAAATGGGTCTGTTTACACTGAATAATTGTTGAGTTTCATGCAAATTGAACTTGTTGAGTTGTAACTTGGTTCTAAAAGTCGTCTTCCTATTCCAGAGTTTTGTGGATATCACTGTAATTAAAATGTTCACATTTAAGATTCTTTAATAACTTAAGGAAAAGAAAACAGCTTAGCGGTCAGAATGTTTTTCTGTCGGAATTTTGTTTTTAAGAGTTTCTTTTTCTTTTTTATATTTATCTTTTTACCAGGTCCTCTGTGTGATATTACCTGTGTTAGCAATGGCGCCTCCCTAACTGGATACTTTTCATGTAAGATATTTTATCAAAGGGTTTTTAAAGGTTTTTTAGAATTTTATTGGTTTCATTTCTTTCTTATTTTTATCAGAACTTTTATTCTGCTAATTTCAAGTGAGTCTACGTTTAACCCTATTCCTAATGGGGGGGGGGGTCAAATTGACCCCCCTGTATTTTTTTTCACATAACTCCATAAGAATTGGTCTGAGGCTGTTAATTTTTTTTGAATTTTCCTAAATACCCATAGCCCTTCCTTAAGGTCTAAAACCGGGCTTTTATACTAACTGCCTGAGTCCTCAGGCACACAATACAATCCGATGGAAAATTATTAAATCAATGATTGTTTACAGGGTACGGTTGTAAATAAGAAATGCTACTCTTTAAATCATTTAAAAAGATACAAATTTCCTTCATCGTCTCTGTTGTCCATGTTCCGCAATTTCACTTTCATAGAGAACCAAAATAGAAAATTATCCAATCAATAGTTGCTTAGTCAATCCGATGGTTAAATACTGTTAATGTTAATCCTTAAATTGGTGTCTTTTGATATTCGTGCTCAGTTCCAGGACCTCACGGAGTACCTGGTTTTGGAATAGCGTACAGGGTGTTGAAGTAGCTCCCAGAGTGTTGAAGAAGCTCCCAGGGTTTTGAAGTAAAATGTGGAAATTTATCAAACCTTTTGTGAGAAGTTCTTTAAAAGGGTACTTCAAGTACTTCAAATCAGAAAAATGAAAAAAGGGCTCTGCTTCCCCTTTTCTATGACTTTATTAAGATATTTGAGGGGAAAAATATGAAGTTATAGTTCAAGTATTTTTATTTCAGTGAATGGTTTTTCCTCGTATTGTACTGCTAGTAAGTGTTCTGCTGTGGATGGAAGTGATCTATGTAAATCTCTAAATTATCCCTGTGGAACAACTTCTAATGGTGTAAGTAATAAAATTGTTCATCTAAACCCCTCTCTGCATATACTGCAGGGCAAAGGGCTTAAAGTTTTTATAAACTAGGCCTTTAGTAATTAGAGATTGGCCAAGTTTATTAGTTTTTAAAAGGAAAAAAACAAAGGAAAAATCGTAATAAAAAAGATTTTTTCAAACAGACTATTTTAAGATACATCAATTTCGATCAATTTTACCTTAAAGGGAGTGTTTGAAAGGAGGGATACTTTAACCTAAAGAAGGGCTATTGGAGTGAGATTCTTGTTTTAAAAACCTGATTTGGAGGGTGTTCCAATAAAAACCTGATATAGAGGGTGTTCCAATAAAAACCTGATATAGAGGGTGTTCCAATAAAAACCTGATATAGAGGGTGTTCCAATAAAAACCTGATATAGAGGGTGTTTCAATAAAAACCTGATATGGAGGGTGTTCCAATAAAAACCTGATATGGACGGTGTTCCAATAAAAACCTGATATAGAGGGTGTTCCAATAAAAATGTAAAGTGACAAATAAGATATCTTCTTTGATCAGAGCATTATCTAATTTCAAATTATCTTAATAAAGTTACTTTACGTCTACTTTAGAGTGGATTTTTACTGCGAAACGCTGTAAAATGTTTTGCTGGAAGATAAACTGTTTTCTGTTTTTATGTAGAAATTTCTCATTTTACTAAGTACAATGGTATGCAATCAAAACATAAACAAACAACTTCTTTACTCTATCAGACGAAATATCTACGAATTGAAGCTTTCTTTCTACAATAGAAAAATCATATAAAAAGACAATATAACAATCATAACTACATTCCCATGTTGTCTTGGACACCCTCTAGAAATTAAATTATTATCTAAAAAGTTGTGTTTTTTAGTTTTTAATTATTTTCAGGGATTGTCTCTGACCTGTTCTAATCCTTGTAATCTGAAAACCTCCCTGTCCAGCTTCAGTCAAGCATATTTCAGTGGTCAAGCAAACAGATTTGTAGAAGTCAAAAGTAAGCTAAATCATTCTCTACCATATGTTAAAAGGGACTGTATAAGCGTAATTTCAAGTGATCCTCCATAAACCATTAATCTGTAACCTTGATGTTGAAGATACCGACGTTTTCCTGACTCGAAAAGTGTTTGTTTCTTACAATTTCCTATTGCTTCTTATAAGAAAGAAATGCTCAAGTCACTTTCGCAGAAAAAGACACCAAATGCAAATTAACCGTCTAAAGAAACGAACACATGTGTATATCTAATTCATACTTGATCAAACAAAGGTTTGAAGGGTATCGTTGTGAATCGAGAATTGCCATCTTTGCATGGAGGGTCACTTAAATTACGCATTTGGTCCCTTTAAATTTCTGGTGCCCTCGGAAAATGATTTATACTCGATAAACAGTTAAAGTTTTCAAGGGTACCATTGTGAATCGGAAATTGCCCTCTATGCATGTTATGTTCACATGACATAACGCATACAGTCTCTTTAAGTGACCCTTTTTTGGTTTCATCACATTTCATTTAAAGCTGGCAAGCTGCAGACAGATTTGTAGAAGTACGGCAACAGTAAGCAAAATCGTTCTCAAGCATTTGAGTAACCCTTTTATTGTTGCATCAATGATTCACATTGGAATATTTCAAATGTATCCGGATATACAGGGTTAATATCAAGTCTTTTTCCTTAAATGTGGTCTTTCAAGGGACTGTTAAGGTAAAATTACATTTTTGCAGCCCTAGATATATACATTTTTGCAGCCCTAGATATATACATTTTTGCCGCCCATATACATTTTCGTAGCCCTAGTTATATACATTTTTGTGCAAATCTTTGCTGTGAGGGAACCTTTGCATGGAGGGTCTTTAGGGGTTTTTCGTTCACAATAACCCTGGGGCAGAAGCCCAAAGCAGTTACGCGCATAATGAAAGGGGGTATTTTAGGAGTTGATCGCGACCAATATTAGTTCTATCTATGTATAAGCTGATGTCTCTGTCTCGAGAAATTGATATAAAACTGTGTCAAAGAAATAAAAAGATACCGCCCTTTAAGAACTGAACCAAAGTTAAGCGTAAAATATCATTTGATAGAATCTCAAAAAAAAAATGTTAAAATTAGTGCTAAATTTTTTTATTTTTTTTTTACACGGATAGAGAAAAACTGTTTAACAGTCAAACAAAGAATGCATTTATATTCTATAAGGTGAAGAGCCCGGCGTTGCCCGCGGAAAAAAATTGAAAAAGAATTTTGAGAAAAAAATTCGTGTCCACAAAAAAAATCAGCCGAATCGGTCCAGCCATTTGGCCGGCTATATACGCATTATATATATATATATATTTATATGAATGTCTTTTTTATTATATAGATGTGTTTACGTAGTGGGACCCCTAAACTGAAATCTGTTATAATCCAGTAATGATTTTGAATAGTAGAATAAAGATACATAGCTTTTGTGCAGTGCACTACACAGGACTGTTTGAATAATTTGATAATATTTCTTAATTGTCGTCTTCCTATATTCTCAATTTTATGGGTCTTACAATTTTTAAAATGATTACATCTAATAATTAACTAATAATCTTTGTTAAGTTGGGTACAACAGTATTCCATCTGTGTGTGATCTGGTTAGTGGTTTCTGCTGTGCTACCGACTATCCAGGTATTAGTTACAGAGGCCGAATCTTCCCAACCTAACAGTCGTATTTAAGACGTACTTTGTATGCCTCCGTACTCTATAGTGTTTGTCCGCCAGATGTCACCCAAAGTATAGGTGTCTGCACATAATCTAATTTTACTACAGTGAAACCCTTAATAATGAATACATCGAAAGAATTCATCAAATGTCGTATTTTTCACTTTCTGATAATGGAATGTTGTAGATATTTAGTTTTTTAATTAAATGATTATATGGAACTCTTTAAAACTGTTCCCGCATATTCATGGCTATTTATTTATTTTCGCAAATACTGAAAATTACGTAATATAGTATAACACTCATTTATTTAGTTTTTTAATTAAATGATTATATGGAACTCTTTAAAACTGTTCCCGCATATTCATGGCTATTTATTTATTTTCGCAAATACTGAAATTTACGTAATATAGTATAAAACTCATGGAAAAATTGTCAAGACGACATTTGATCAATTCTTCCGATGTATTCGTTATTAAGGGTTTCACTGTATGCTTTTTTTTATTTGTTTTTGCCGAGAGGGGTCGTTTCACTGTGAGTAAGTGAAGACGTCATATAATTGCAAAAAGTACGGATGGGTAGATTCGGGCTCAGGGTGTATAAGTAAACATTAGAATTAAGAATTTTAAGATCGTCATTGTAAACGATTTTGATTTAGTATGAAAGTATTGATCAGTTGTATGTTTCGTCTGCGATGTATAGTTTAGATTTGGTTTGTTTATGCTATGTCTGTATCTGACAATTAACCAATTACATTGACCAATAAACCTTTTCACTTTTGATCTTTTAAAAATATTACAGACACAACATACAGTTTTGCGAGTGAATAAACCTAGTAGTGTTTACTTAAAATTTCATAACTTACCATGACTATTTTTCGAGATATTCTTTAAAATTAACAATTTTGAACAGCCCTTTAAAAAATATGTTGAACGCTAATCATCATTTCATTAATTTTTTTATAATCTTAAAATTTATTTCAGCCTCCAATCTGTGCCTCAGACTTGGTATTTATGGTCGATAGAATGTTTCAGTTAAAATTGTTCATTTTTACAAAAAGAAGTTTTTACATTTATGATTAATTAAAAATAAATTTGATTAAATGGCACAATTCTTGATTATTTTAAATAATTTACAAACAAGAAATTACAAAGTGGCATGACCTGTTCACATCAAAACCCTGTAACGTTTTATCTGATCAGTAAATATTAAGATTTCCTCGATTTCTCTGTAATATTTTGTTATTTTCATATATTTTTACATAATCTCTTGCGGATTTCATACTTTAAGAATCGATGGAGAGAATTAAACACTTTTCAAGTAAGAAAAGCGTCGTAATCTTTCAATAGTATTGATAGGATAAACGTTATGAATCTCTAATTCAAAAAGTAATTCAGTCCCAGGAATTAAACACATCTCATTAAGTTGTAATATTTAGCCATAGAGAAAGGAAACGAAGAGGTAAAGCTTTCCTCAGATGTACACAACCGACCTCCCTCTGTTAATTAATTAAATAAGTGGTTGATTGTGTACATCACGATATGTTTACGTATCGAAGACTGTACTCTAGTATTTAGAGTGATCGTATTTGCTTGGGGGTTGTAAAATGTAGATAATTGAATATTTGTATAGAAAATTAGATAGACACTTAATATGGATTCTAAACACAGGATTGAATAAATTGCCCCCCTCCCCTACACAGTCACTCTCGTACGCCCCTGTCAGGGGAAGAAACCGATGCCCTGTTCCGCAATTTTCTAATTGAATATCCTGTTGGTAAGGTTAGTTTTTTCATGGCCGAGTACTTAATACTAACTTTTCTAACCCCCCCCCCCCCACTAGAAAAATTTTAGATTTTCGCTATTTATCTATCAATTCCATAAAATCCCCCCTAAAAATATGATGAAAGTGTAAAGTTTTAGCTACGTAAACATATCGTGATTATACACAACCGAAAACTCTAATTAATTAAAAGGGAGGTCGGTTGTGTACATCTGAGGTAAGCTTTACCTCTCTGTTTCAGCTTTCTCTACGTATTTATCTATCTTTTTTTTCGGTTTTGCTAGATGGAAATATTGTTTACGTGTTTAAAGTCCGGATTCGCAATAGTTTAGCTTCTTGGATCTGCAAAAATATGCAGATCCAGGAGATTATGATTATATAAACCAAGCACCCCCCCCTGAATTATTTTACTATCTTCTCTTCTGTTGAATTAAACCCAGAATATGGTTTAAACTTTATTATACAATATTGTATATGAAGGTTGACTAGACAAAGTGTCCAGATGAGCTTAAATAAGGATAATTACAACGATTAAATGACAAATTGTAAAATAATCACAATTTTTTTTAAAAATGATTTTTGTACAGTTCAATATTCTATTGACTAGTCTGGGAATAAAGTTTGAAGTTAATGTACTGAATGTATCATGAGCCGGGAACTCTGGTGTTAGATAATCTAGATAACTTGATCTCGATATCTATTGTGGGCACTTGTAATTTGAGGATCTATAAAAACTTGACACTTAATTTTAGTTATTCCTCCACTGATTAAAGATCCCATCAACCCCTGACTTGCGAGGGTTCAAATTAAGATTAATCTGCAGATTAACCAAAAAATCGAGATCAAGAATTGATCTTGATACCCACAATACAAGAGTTCCCAGCTATGTACTCAGTACAACTGGAGAAAAATTGGTCAACAATTTAAAAAGTTTCATTTATTCAATTACCAACATCCTTATATTTAACTTTTTAAATAAATATATTTTTAGACAATGAAAAGTTGATATAGGCCTTATTAAGTAAACATATGTTGTTATGTACAGAGGGGCCATTTTATAATATTTAATTAAATATAAAAATATATTAGTTTAGAGATGATACAAAAGATTATCTACCTCCTCCCCTTCCTCGGTCCCCCCGAGGGAAAAATTCCTGGAACTTTTTACATTTTACAAAATTAAGTAGAACACAATGTTGTTTTACAAAAATGAATAATTTGATGTGCTGGTTTGCCTATTTCATAACGTAGGGATAGCACAACAAGTACAAACAAAATGTATGTTGAAGATTAGTTAGAGCAAAGAAAGTTTAACTCGAGATTAAAAAAATATTAGGTATTGAAACAAAATTGTAAAAAAAACAATCTAATAAAGTATTGAATTTGTTGAAAGGACATTGTGTTGCGGTGCTCTATTTAAAAGTGAGAAATTGTACCAAGAATACTATAGAGTGGATAAACTGTCTGGTCATGTCCACTCATTAAAACTCCAGAATTTTGATTATATGAAATACAATACAATATACTTACAATATAATAAAATCTAGGCTAAAGAAAATAGTTTTGATTTGTTAGCGAGGACACCTGACCTGTCTTAGATATAAATGCATTGAAAAAAATATTTTAAAAAATCACAAATTTAACATTTTTTAAATATTAGAAAATTAGTATTTATACTTATGTTTAAAACTAACTAAAACTGAGCAAACCATGGTTAATGCCAAATTTTTTTTATAAATCTGGTAAACTTCACTCAAAAAGATAAGTCTTTAAAGTAATTCAGAGATTCCGGAATTAGAAATAATTTAACAAACAAAAAACAACGCTTGCAATTGAGAACGTTATAGCTCTCCAATCTCTATTTAACAGTTTAAAACATATGTAAATATATAAAGAAAAGGCAGTAATAATAGATTAAATGTATAATATTATTAAGATTGCACCAGTAAAGTTTCTCTCTGCATCGTTAGTTAGGAATGGAAGAGTTGGACATTTCAAGAGAGGCGTGGTCCGCATGTAGAGCCCCACCCAGTTGACCTGGGGCCCCCATATGTCCCTGAACCCCCATATGTCCCGGAGCACCCATGTGCCCATGGTCACTCATGTGTCCCTGTCCGCCGACATGACCCTGTCCGCCGACGTGTCCCTGTACGCCGTCGTGACCCTGTCCGCCAACGTGACCCTGTCCGGCCATGTGTCCTTCCATGCTGCCTGGTTCGGCCTCCTCTGTCTCGTGGGATGTGCTCAAATAATGGCTGAAAAAGTCTATTTTAAAGTCTATTTACAAAAATTTATCAACCAGTGAATAACAAAAGTTACATTACAAATCTCAAATTCATCAACCAGTGAATATCAAAAGTTACAAATCTCAAATTTGTCAACTAGTAAATAACAATTGTAACATTACAAATCTCAAATTTAAATTATCGGTCCAAGGCAATTGCTCTGCATTTATGGAATAAAATTTTTTTTTAAAAATTTCCTTAAAAATAGCTGGTTGTCTGAGAAACTGAATCCCTCCGATTAAATTAAATTTTCATTAATTTTTTGAGGGTGGGTTTTATATTTATTTCAAAATATTTAAACACTAGTCAATTCAGCTGAAAAACTGGAGCAGTCAAATCTATAGTAAGAGTGCAATGTATTATTAAAACCCTTCTATACCCCCACCCCCCCCCCTTTCATGCACTAGGAAAAACATATAAATAATTCAATATAACAAATATAACAACATTGTTAAATATTAAATATCTAATAGTTAGCAGCTATAGAGAAACGAATCATAAAAATAAAACATAGTCTTTTCCTGAATCCTAAAATTAATTTCCCTCAATTTTTGTAGACAATTTGTCGCTGACCAAGAAGATTAACAAACAATTTTGCTTCCCCATGTGAAAAAGACGAGTTTATGAAAAGATTAAAAACAGTATTTAAAATTCGGGATCCAGGTGTAATGAATTTTCAATATTTTCATTAAAGAATAATATTTGTAAACAAAAAGTGTACATGAAATTTTAAAAAAGAAATTAAGCAAACTAAAATTTTTTTCCCATTTTTAGTTTTTCTTAATTATACATAAGGCTATTTAAGATTTTGTAAAAATATTTGCATATTTGAAATGGCATGGTCAAAAATGTATATTTTATCATTATCATTTTTAGACTTTTTTTGCGAACAATTTAACTATAGAACTGGATTTGAAAAAAAATTCAACTGGTACAACATTGCATTTTTTTGGCAGATTCTAAAAGAAGACCATACGAGCTTTCCAATGATGTATCATTTGTTATATTTGGACATCCAAACATGGGATTTAGAGCGTGTCCTGGTTTTTAAGTACCCCAACAGGGATAGGGTGAAGGGAGTTTAACAAAAAATTGTATCTGAGATACCGTAAGCAAAAAGTTTATATGATGACAGATTCGTTTCCAACTTCTTAAACCATCTTTTCAACTTCTCCAGTTCTATCGAACTTGAAAAACTTGTTATTTAATAAAAATATAAACTTTCAAATTGGACACAAACAAGGAATAAATATGAACTGTACATCAACAAATTCAACTGTTTAAGAATACTTACTTTATTTGCCTGTTTTAGTTAATGGGAAAATATGTTTTCAAGAAGATGTACCCACGATTTTTCGCGCATTTTTAAATTCCTATTTTACCTGAAATCAATCCCGTTCCCCATCTCCTCGTCAACATCATTGACCTCGTAGTCCCTGAAGGCGGCCCACTCAGCCGCCTGCTCTCTCTTCAACCTAAACACAGTTGGGAGTTAAAAAGGGCAAACATTTTTAATCTTAAATCTGTAACTTCGAAGCGCTCAAACGAATTTCGAATATATAACTTAAAACACATAAACTTCTCAAAATGAAGTCAACATTTTTTATATAAACCTCATTTTTGAGTCTTTCCTTATTTAAATTTTTATTTGAATAGACATGTAAAGTTCCAGGATGTAATTTTGAAGACATTGATTCTTTTTCAGGCTGATTTGCGTGAGAAAAGTCTTTTTTTTATGTTCTCTGCAGATTAAAATTTTGTTCTTAAAATTCATTTTTTCTTTTATTTTCTAACCAAAATCTTGACTTTAATTCGTATTTATGTTAATTTTGTTTCAATCTAGTTTGAAAGAAAACCTGTTAATCCTGCCGTATAGTGAGCTGTAGGGTAGATGGAAATGAATTGCTGCTTGATTTATTGACATGTTTCCGGTCCTAACTGTATCCAGGGCAGACACCATATCCTCCTCTGACCAGTGAACCTAATGATTCAAAAATATAATCATATGTCAAACTTGACATATTGGATTTAGAAAAATTGAACACTTGCGATTGATGTTTTATGAAGAAAATCTTTAATCGGAAATTTCCAAATGAAAGATGAAGCAAAAATTAGAAAGGTGGAAAGAAAGGAGAAATGAATTTTTTAGAAGCTAATAGAAAAAAACTAATAGACTTAAAGGGAGAGACAGGCTTTGAAACATATTTGACCTGAGAATACAGTATTGTAGAGAAGAACTTTAGAATTCATTTGATACCAATAACACATTTTTTCGGTGTACAATTCATAAATAAAGTCGTTTGTAATATTTCACCAGTTGTTTCAGTCAGCAGAAGAAACATTTTATTAGAATTCTTAAATAACATGGACAAAACATGGAACAAATGCTTTTCTAAAAACTAGTTGTATGTTTTCAAAAATAATGAACGTCTATCATTACAAATAAGTTATTAAAATTCATTTTGAAATCTCGCAGGTTTATGCAAATTCTTTCAGCTATGGTCGCTTGTTGGAGGTAGGTGTTCATTATTTTAATTGTGAAGACGACATTTAGTAGAAATCTGCGATTATATTTTTAAAAGTTCAGCAAAGGTAATTGTGATAATGAAATTATCGATTTTACAGTTCTACTTTGGCTTTCATCGATAATTTATTTTAAGAACTATGTTCCTAAACAGCAAATTTGTTTTTTAATTAATTTTTCTTGCTTGTTTTGTCCGGGTTATCAAATAACTGTAAAAAACGATTCTTCTACTGTCTGAAACAACTGGTGAAATATTGCAACTGACTTTACGCTCTTATTTAAGAATTGTACAACGTAAAAATGTCTCATTGGTATCAAATGAATCCTAAGGTTTCTCTACAATACTTTACTTTCAGCTCAAATATGTTACATAGCCGGTCTCTCCCTTTAAAAAATAAAAATTTCAAACGTAAAAGAACTAAGAAATAGTTATAAAGCTAAAATTTCACAGAAACCTACACAATATTTCTTTCTAAGAAAAATGACGAAATATTAATTTAAATTTGAAGAACAAACGTTTTCACAAAGTTTGAAGTTTCAAACTCAAGCTTATTCTAGTTTTTAAAAATTTATTAATAGCTTTAAAAAATTTAATTTAACAAGACTTAACAATAAAACTTTAAATTTTTTAACCCTAGGGTTCCTTCAAAAACTAATTTAAGTATACTACATGTCATTTTAATGTGTCGAAAATTTTTGGAAAAATCTGCCAATTTGGGGGGAATCCTTCGAATTTAGGATAAATCTACTAATCTAGACCTCCCAGTCGATCTACCAATTTAAAGAAGGTCAGATTTACCTGGGTAGCTTTGCTGAGCTCTATCCCAACCTTCTTGCATCTACCGTAGAGAGTACCACTAGGTATACCGTACTCAGTTGCAGCTTTCTGTACAGCCATTCCACCCTTTATAGCTTCAAGGGCCAGGTTCAAATCATCCTAAGCAATCAATCAATCAAACAATTAATCAATCAACAAATCGATCAATCGATCAATTAATCAATTTTTTTTAAATATCTTTAACGTCAATAAATCATTGATGATAAACCAAACCCAACTAAATAAAATCAATGGATTGATGAAAAGGCTTGAATTTAGAAATGTGAAATAAATTCAAGAATTGATAATTAGATATCTTGGATCAGGTTTCCACGTGCTGTGCTAGAATTCAGTTTCAGATATTAAACCCAGTATCTTTCCTTACATAGATAATAGATAGTAGTATCAGAAAAACTATTAAAAATAAAAACATTTACTTTGTTGAATAAGTTCTACTTCAATTGCGTATTCTTTTTCCATTTGAGTACAAAAACATGGAAGCAAAATATCAAACAGAAATTCTTTTCGTTTCTGACTTATTCATGTGTGGAGAAAGTGTGTCTTAATTAAGACTGTAGTTTGTAGTTTACAGTTTTTATTTTTATTATTACAACTAAAGCAGAAGATCATTTTCATAAGGATTAAGAATCATTTTCAAGTTCTTAAGGCCTAGTCCGTGGACTATAATTACATCTAAGTAAGGACCTTACTTTGTCCCAATGTACCATACTTCGGGAAGAATTTTATCTTTTTGGCCTTGAACCAAATCTTGTCAGGTATGATCCATTGATGACTTAGTTTAGACCAACCGACAAGACGTTTGGCCTCTTTGTTAATAAAATAATTGGCTAAAAAGCTAATTTCTGAAAAATTTCGTCACCATTTGGCTGAATTTGGAAAAGTGTTTTGACTCAATTTAAGCCAATTTATATTTTGAACTTTTAAACTAAATTAAATATTGACTAACCTGACTCCAGGCCGTAGCAACAGCATTAAACGGCTGAGCCAGTTCTATTCCCTCCTTCCTAGCAATCTTGTAGAGGGTAGAGCTAGGGATCTTGTAAACCTTGGCGGCCTTGTTCGCAGATATCTCCTTCTTTCTCAGAGCATCTAGCGCACTTAAATAGATTGTATTATATGTTAACATAAATATGCCCGGGAACATACTTGGTTAAGTTGGTATGGTGTTTGTTATTGTTATTATAGAGAAATTTAAGTTGAAGATTATACCAAGCATAATATAGCTTGTCTTTTGTTATTTTTATTTATTTATCTCAAAAGGTTTAACTTTAAGCTACTCAAGATGATCTGGTCCATTTTTTTGTTATTATTATCATAGAGAAATTTTTTGTTATTATTATTACAGAGAAATTTGAGTTGAACATTATACCATGCATAATTCACATGCCCATCGTCTCCAAATGTTTAAGCTTCTTTAATTATTTTTCCACGTCTAAAATCTAACAGAAGCAAAAAAAACTAAAAAAAATGCAATTTCGACTATGCCATTTCTGCATTATAAAGTCTACCTGTTAAGGTCGTCTTCGGACCAGGTTTTGTTCGCAGTATCCTTCTTTGGTGTTGGAATTCCCATTCTAAAATATCAAGATTTAACCAGATTCCTTAGTACTGTCAGCAAACAAAGTCCTTCACTTATACTAAATATATTTTAAAGATTTTAAATCCCTTCAGTCAAATACTTCAGGAGATTATAATTTTAACCCCCCCCCCCCCAAATTGATTATTAAAACCCCGACTTTTTTTGGAGCTTTATGGACTGAGAATTTTGGAATTTATCTAAAATTTTCGCTTCACAGATTTTACCTGTTAGCTCTTTGCCATAAGGTTGTTGGGGGGATACCATAAACCTCACTAGCTCGAGATAGGCTAAGTTTCTTTGATCTAAAAAATATTCTGGTTTACAATATATTTTCAAATAATATATTTTATGAAACTATTGTGTACTTTATTAATCATGGTCACTTCTTGGTAAATTTCATTATAGACGCGCCATAAAGTAATCATCGTGCTTTAATGGTAAAATAAGCTAAATATTGTATGTTATAGCAGGGTGCTATCAACTATTTATAACACAATTATTTTGGTTCACAGTGCTATAAAGTTTTGGACAGAAATTCTCTCTTTATTGAGAAGGTTCAAGCTCGCTAAGGCTCTGGGCAAAATATAATCTAAAAAGGCTAAAACCTTCCAGATAAAGAGATATCTAAGTCCAAAAACATTACAACTTTTGGCCTGACGTGAATAGCACTGCAAACCAATAATATAGTTAATGTTAATAAACAAAAGGTTTAGTTTTTATATTTGTTTCCCGCGATTTTTGCCAAATGCAAGGATTTCTGTAACTCCTGCAAGAGATTATATTCAATAAATCATAATAATGTTTTCAGTAGATTCAATGTAATATACTATCCTTATTCCCAGGTATACTACTCTCAGTATCCTAGATATACAGACCTCTTAATCAGGGATACAGGGATACGACATAGGGTGGAGGGTCCCAGGTATACTACTCTCAGTATCCTAGATATACAGACCTCTGTATCAGGGATACAGGGATACGACATAGGGTGGGGGGTCCCAGGCATACTACTCTCAGTATCCTAGATATACAGAGCTCTTAATCATGGATACAGGGATACGACAATTGTGCATCTATTTTCATAAACCGCGTCGACTTTGAAGTATCGCAGCGTCTTAACCTACAGCTTTACCTTACTAACTCTCTTATACATTTTGAAGCCTTAGACGATTGATTGTATAATAAAACTACAACGAGATTGTTCCTAGCTTCAATTTTAAGATAAGTAATTGGCAAAATTTGTCAGTGTGACCGTAGACATTTTGAATCACTGAATCACTGAATCACTGAATAGGGTATAAGGATACAAAGATTTTATGATGCCAAAATGGGTCTAAAACTAGGAATTTCTAATCCATAGCAGAAAACAATTTATGATTAGAATTAATAAAGTATATTGTACAATGTACGACGTTTGTACACTGTACAGTCCCTGCCATCCGCATTAAGAATATCTATTGATATAAATATTTCCTTATTAATTATCATATTTATACTCCATCTCAAAACGTGAGAAAACTAATACTTGGACTTCATTTTTATATTTATTGTATAGTTGCATGTACGCGGAGGTTCTATATATTTATATATATATGAATATATATATGTATATATATATACTGCAGCGAAAGAACCTCCGCTTACATATATATATATATATATATATATATAAATGCGTGGTGATGTGTTGCGTATGCGAACGAATAGTTGCGTTTTTGCTTTCTTCAAGAAATTTAGAATTTGAAATAACAACCTGGAACAATATTTAGTTAATAGTGACAGGGGCGTATTCAGCAATTTTTCCAGGGGGGGGGGCTTAAATTGTTGTCTTTCCAGGGGAGATCAACACCCGTTGGGGCATGAAAACCACCTGAAATCAATAGATTCCACTGGTCCAGTGGGGGCTTAGCCCCAATAGCCCCCCCCCTGAATACGCCTCTGATAGTGAGTATGGTTGAACCACGCAGACGTAACAATTCATAAACATTTGGTAAATATTTTTGTGTTTACACGTCACACCTGTCTAAAATGTTGGTGTATTAAGTATGCAATTATTTGTTTGTGTTTGTACACAAATAATTTGTTTTGCGTGTTTACAGTGAATAAATACAAACAAACCTTTCTAATAATGTTTGTGTTTACAGTTTACAAACAAACATATCTAATAATGTTTGTGTTTACAGTTTACAAACAAACATATCTAATAATGTGTTTGTGTGCAGTGTGCATGAAAAGAGTGAGAACTCTAAATCTCGCAATTATCTGAATATTCCCATGGATCAGAGGAATCACGGTAAAAACTGATCAAAATGATGATTATTACGTGCATCCACTCTTACAACCGGAGGTTTCACAAAACCAACCATTTTTGATGGATTTTCAAATCGTCATTAATTAATATCCGAAAAATAAAACTTAATTTAAAATCCTGAATGATTTTTGAACCATGGCAAAGATAAAACATACTTTAACTACAGTTCTCTTTAAAACCAGGATCTTTCCTTGCAACTTTTATATAAACCCTTTAATCCTTTCTCTAGGAAGTAATCATAGAGATATCCTTATTATTCCATCAACATTTTTACAACTAATAGGAATCTAAGAAATTGATTGCTTTCCTCAAAATAGCCAAGTTTCGAATTTCTATGTCTTGGCAACCAGGTTGTGAAAGCCTTGATATTTTAAACTTTGATTGTTTTATTTATCAAAATTCATATTATTAAAGACCTATAGTCTACAAAATCGGGTTGCACAGATTTAAGGATAATAATATTTCAGTTTGAGACGGGCCATCAATTCGATTCCAAGAAAACTGTAATTTATTCATAAAAGGGACTGTATCCGTAAATTCGAGTGACCCTCTAAGCAACGAAGCAATGCCCGATTTAAAAGGTATCCTTGAAACCTTAATCTGATCAAAAATGTGGATTGTGGAGTATACCATCGTACCAGTATAAAGAAACAAAAAATATGGATAACGATATCTAATTCATACTTGATCAGGACAAAGTATTTGAGGGTAGTGTAGTAAATCGGGCATTGCCATATTTGCATGAAGGGTTATTTGAAATTATAGTCCCTTTAAGCGGTATTCCAACCTGGTTTGATGTTCTACCCGCAGCGGTAGACGAGGCTAGGAATGTCGCAATATCGGTCATATCTCCAGTAGGAGGAGGAGACGAATGTTCTGATTTAATTGTAAAATCAACCGGTCCATCAACCTCACCATCACCTTCACCTTCAACCTCAGCCATAGAACCTTTCTCCCACTTCTCATGATCATCGTCCTAGACAAGGAGTTTATCAAAACAAAGTATATATATATATAAATATTCATTTATATATAATATATATATATACTTCTGGAATTGACTGGTCTAGTTGATTTTAGTAAAAATTAAACAATTCCTTTCTGTTAAATAAATGACCTAATAGAATTGAATCTGCAAGATTTTAACCTACTCCACTAATATCTTAAATAAAGAAAAATTCATCAACTGTACGAGCTTCAAATCATCCCGAATTGTTTTCTGAAAAGTTCAAAAAGTGGAAAATAATCCCTTCAAGTTTATTGGATATTTTTATTTGATAAAAAAAATAATTACTGGTTCCATAAACTCGTCAAGTTCTGGTGTCTAGTGTCTAATAACTAATACCTGGTCATGAATAGTTTCGTCTAGAACTGCTGTCTAGTGTCTAATAAATATACCGGAACTAGTGTCTAGTGTCTAATAACTATAACCTGGTCATGAATAGATTCGTCTAGAACTACTGTCTAGTGTCTAATAAATATACCCGAACTACTGTTTAGTGTCTAATAACTATTACCTGGTCATGAATAGATTCGTCTAGAACTGAACCATCTGGAGTTCCTACAGCTCTATACTGTTCTCCTGGAGTAGTATCACCAGCCTGCTCAGGTGGAGTACCCCCATGTCCCTGGGGGTCTGGAGTACCCGGCTCCCGCCGAGGTTGCGGAACCGGTTTTCGCCGGTTTTTTACAAAATGAAATTTTGGGGAGTTCTTCCGTCTCCCGGCGCCAGAGAGCTGGCTTGCCGGTCGATCTGGTTCCGCACTTGATTCCCGGCTCAAGAAACCGTTGGGAGTGCACGTCTCATCCTAAACATCATATATTACAGGGAGTGTCCTATTATTGTCCTGTTAAACCGTCTTTGTCCTATTTAACCACGATTGTTCCCCTATAAGTACTTTTGTATGTGCAGAACCTCTGTTAGGAATAAGATCTAAATCAAATCTTATATTTATACGCTAATTTCTTTATAGAATCATGATTACACATAAACGATAATGAAGATTTTGCTGACCTCTCAATACTTAACACTTACAGGGTGGCCAAAACTTTTTTGAAAAAATTCGTACAAAAATCCGAACAATCTGTACATTTTTGGGGGAAAAATCCGTACACTCCGTACATTTTTTTGGGAAAATCCGTACATTCAAGAAAAATAAAACCATTTTTGAAAAAAAACCATCAAAATTAAATTTTTCTTCTGCAATTTTTCATTCGATGTCTTTTGTGTTCATGTGTGAGAAACAAGTAAAATAGGATGAGAATGAGAGGAGAAACAAGTAAATTAAGATGAAAATGAAAGGAGAAACAGGATAAATACACAGTTAAATCTAAAAATCTATAATTATGGCATTTAGTCTTTTTCTTGGGATGGGTTTCCTTGTTTGTTTAAGCTTTTTAAAAAGTCATAATTCAGCAAAAGTCAATATTCTCGAAAAATTATTAATCAATTTTGATTGTCAATTGAATCAACAATCAATCTAAAACTATTTAGAATGCAGAAAATAAATTAAACTAACTTTATTTTGACGAGATATTTTTTTTTGAAAGTTTTTATGCTAAATTTTCTGAAATGAGTCTTAAAAAAGGTGTATTTCCAGGCTAAAAATCCGTACAATCCGTACAATTTTAGGGTTATAAAAAAATCCGTACATTTTGGGCACCCGGCACTTAAAATGTGTTTGTCTGAGAGCAAAGAGTTTTTTTTTTCGATGTTTTGGTTAGTTTTTTACAGGATCTGGAATCAACGAGCTAAGCACTTGATGAAGTTGGTTTCCACAATTAATGTACATTTATATATTACATAATTACCCTAGGTCTGGTATATTCCGTGTCAAGGCCCCGGATCCTAAGTTGACTTGCGCAGCGCAGTACTCCAGACAATTCATCCTGTGGAACCTAAACACATAGAACATATGTTTATGTTTTCAAAATACTTGAGAACTATATCAGAGAATTTTCATGACTTTTTAAAATTAAGGAAAATAGATTTTTTTTCATCTATCAAGTTTTATTTGAGGATTCTTTAAGTATTTTTCTTTATTAAGTTAGCAATAACTGATACTGTGTCATAACATTTTCTTAATAGGTTCTATGTATGGTTCTGTGTATGGTGCTGTGTGTGGTTCTGTGTATGGTTCTGTGTAGGGTTCTGTGTATGGTTCTGTATATGGTTCTGTGTATGGTTCTGTATATGGTTCTATGTATGGTTCTGTATATGGTTCTATGTAGGGTTGTGTGTATGGTTGTGTGTATGGTTCTATGTATGGTTCTATGTAAGGCTCTATATAAGGTTCTATGTAAGTTTCTATGTAAGGTTCTATGTAGGGTTATGTATATGGTTCTATGTAAGGTTTTAGGTAAGATTCTATGTGGATTCTTTGTAGGATTTTATTTAGGGTTGTATGTAAGGTTCAATGTAAGGTTCTATATAGGGTTCTATGTAGGGTTCAATGTATTGTTCTGTATATGGTTTTATGTAAGGTTCTAAGTAAGGTTCTATGAAAGGTTCTATGAAAGGTTCTATGTAAGGTTCTATGTAAGGTTCTATTCAAGGTTCTATTTAAGGTTCTATGTAACGTTCTATATATGGTTCTATCTAAGGTTATATTTAAGGTTCTATGTAAGGTTCTATGTAAGGTTCAATGTATTGTTCTATGTAAAGTTCTGTGTAAGGTTCAATTAAGGTTATATGTAAGGATCTATGTAAGGTTCTATGTAAGGTTCTATATAAGGTTCTATGTAAGGTTCTATGTAAGGTTCTATGTAAGGTTCTATGTAAGGTTCTATGTAAGGTTCTAATTAAGGTTATATGTAAGGATCTATGTAAGGTTCTATGTAAGGTTCTATGTAAGGTTCTATGTAAGGTTCTATGTAAGGTTCTATGTAAGGTTCTATGTAAGGTTCTATGTAAGGTTCTAGTTAAGGTTCTAGGTAATGTTCTATGTAAGGTTCTATGTAAGGATCTATTCACGGTTTTATGTAGGGTTCAATGTATGGTTCTGAATAAGGTTCTATGTAAGGTTCTATGTTAGGTTCTGTGTAAGGTTCTGTGTAAGGTTCTGTGTAAGGTTCTATGTAAGGTTCTATGTAAGGTTCTATGTAAGGTTCTATGTTAGGTTCTATGTCCGGTTCAATGTAAGATTCTATGTAAGGGTCTTTGTCAGGTTCTAGGCAAGGTTCAATATATGGTTCTATACATGGTTCTATGTAAGGTTCTATGTAAGGGTCTATGTAAGGGTCTATGTCAGGGTCTATGTCAGGGTCTATGTAAGGTTCTATGTAAGGTTCTATGTACGGTTCTATGTGCGGTTCTATGTACGGTTCTATGTACGGTTCTATGTACGGTTCTATGTACGGTTCTATGTACGGTTCTATGTGCGGTTCTATGTGAGGTTCTATGTGAGGTTCTATGTGAGGTTCTATGTGAGGTTCTATGTAAGGTTCTATGTAAGGTTCTATTTAAGGTTCTATTTAAGGTTCTATGTAAGGTTCTATGTAAGGTTCTATGTAAGGTTCTATGTAAGGTTCTATGTGAGGTTCTATGTAAGGTTCTATGTAAGGTTCTATGAAATGTTCTATGAAAGGTTCTATTTAATGTTCTATGTAAGGTTCGAAGTAAGGTTCTAAGTAAGGTTCGTTGTGTAGTTCTATGTAAGGTTCTATGAACGGTTCTTTGAAAGGTTCTATTTAATATTATATGTAAGGTTCTATTTAAGGTTCTATGTAAGGTTCTAAGTAAGGTTCTATGTATAGTTCTATGTAAGGTTCTATGTAAGGTTCTATGTAAGGTTCTATGTAAGGTTCTATGTAAGGTTCTATGTAAGGTTCTATGTAAGGTTTTATGTAAGGTTCTATGAAAGGTTCTATGAAAGGTTCTATGTAAGGTTCTAAGTAAGGTTCTATTTATAGTTCTATGTAAGGTTCTATGTAAGGTTCTATGTAAGGTTCTATGTAAGGTTCTATGTAAGGTTCTATGTACGGTTCTATGAAAGGTTCTATGAAAGGTTCTATTTAATGTTCTATGTAAGGTTCTATGTTGTAATGTATGGTTCTATGAATGGTTCTATGTAAGGTTCTATGTAAGGTTCTATGTAAGGTTCTATGTAAGGTTCTATGTAAGGTTCTATGTAAGGTTCTATGTAAGGTTCTATGTTGGGGGTTGTATGTGTATGGAGGGGTCATGGAACAATTCAAGAAAATACAGTAGTTTTTCATTTAAATAATTAATTTTTATTGTTCTATACCCCAGATAGATCATATTATCTTCATTACTGAACCTTACAGCATGATAATTTATCCACGGATCATACGCTACCCACCCCCCCCTCATTCTATCATTTTCCTGACATCGTTCCGACTATTGTCTCTCCCTTGATTATACCATACACTGTTTTCTATTCAAATTACAGTAATATCGGTAATTTATCCAGTAACCAGCCAGAACACACGATCAGAAGAAATCCCATGAGAAAATGTTTAAAAATAAATTATAATTCATGAATAGTTAATTGATTCTTGATTGGTTTAAGATAGAACTGCCTGAAGTAGGAAGATTTTTGAGATTAAGTTATTACTAAAACTAAAAAGTTCATGAGCGGAAAGGAAAAAAAGATAAAGATGGGGAAAGGGAACCCGATTGGGAAAAGAGAGAGCTAGAGATGGGGTAGGAGAAAAAACGGATGTAAGAACAGAGAAATAGAAAAAGGGGAAGAAGAACGAATGAGTGAACAGAAAACTAGAGATGGGGTAGGAGAAAAAACTGATGAGAGCACGGAGAACTAGAAAAAAGGCAAGGAAGAACGAATGAGAGAACAGAAAACTAGAGATGGGGTAGGAGAAAAAACTGATGAGAGCACGGAGAACTAGAAAAAAGGGGAGGAAGAACGAATGAGAGAACAGAAAACTAGATAAGGTAGGAAAAAGAAATGATGAGAGAATTGAGAGCTAGAGAAGGAAGGAGGAAGAACTGGTGAGAGAACAGAGAACTAGAGAAAGATGGAGGAACTGATGAAAGAACGGAGTACTAGAGAAGGGGGGTTGGTGGAGAAAGAAATGGTTAGAGGACAGAGAGGAACTGGTAAGAGAACAGAGAAAACATAAAGGGAGAAGAAAGAACTGATGAGAGAACGGAGAACTAGAGAAGGGGGAGGAGGAAGAACTAAGGAGAGAACGGAGAACTAGAGAAAGTAGGAGGAAGAACTGGTGAGAGAACGGAGAACTTGAGACGGAAGGAGGAGGAAATGGTGAGAGAACAGAGAACTAGAGACAGAAGGAGGAACTGATGAAAGAACGGAGTACTAGAGAAGGGGGGTTGGTGGAGAAAGAAATGGTTAGAGGAAAGAGAAGAACTGGTAAGAGAACAGAGAAAACATAGAGAAAGGGAGAAGAAAGAACTGATAAGAGAACGGAGATCTAAAGAAGGGAGGAGGAAGAACTGGTGAGAGAACGGAGAATTAGAGAAAGGGAGAAGAAAGAACTGGTGCGAGAACGGAGAACTAGAGAAAGGGAGAAGAAAGAACTGGTGAGAGAACGGAGAACTAGAAGGTAGGAGGAAGAATTGGTGAGAGAACGGAGAGCTAGAGAAGGAAGAAGAAAGAACTGGTGAGAGAACGGAGAGCTAGAGAAGGAAGAAGAAAGAACTGGTGAGAGAACGGAGAACTAGAGTTCTAAGGAAGGAGGAACTGACGAGAGATTGGAGAACTAGAGAAGGAGAGAAGACTAGGTCAGAGCTGGGACTGAATATGCTCCTTTACTCCTACTCCACTCCAAGAATGTGAAATTGTCCTACTCTAGTCCAAGAATGTGAAATTGTCCTACTCTACTCCAAGAATGTGGAATTGTCCTACTTTACTCCAAGAATGTGGAATTGTCCTACTCTACTCCAAGAATAGAGAATTGTCCTACTCTACTCCAAGAATATAGAATTATCCTACTCTACTCCAAGAATGGAGAATTGTCCTACTCTACTCCAAGAATGTAGAATTGTCCTGCTCTACTCCAAGAATGTGGAATTGTCCTACTCTACTCTAAGAATGTGGAATTGTCCTACTCTACTCCAAGAATATTGAATTGTCCTACTCTACTCCAAGAATTCTATATTTAAAGAAAAAGAGTGAATTTATCTTTAAAGAATAAATGTAATATTTTATCTGCTCGAATTACAACTGAGGTTTTTGCAGACAATACAAAAAAAATGAAAAGTTAAAAATGCTGATAATCCAGCCTTGCTCTTAAATATTAAATGACTCAAAGAAATTCAATATGATAGGAAATTAGACAGGTTTCCGATAAAAGAAATTTTTTTTTTTTTATTTCAGCGGAGCTTTAAAATTTAAGCATTTTTTAGCATTTTGCAGCTTAAATAATGCTCTATGGGGCCGGGAGGGAATAGGATAGGATGTAATATACAAGAAAAATAAAAACATTAAATGGAATGGTCACGTTTTTTAAGATAATCTTCCACGAAATTGATCGACTACGGTAGGAAGTTCAGAAGACCCCCCCCTCCTCCAGTGAATCATTTTCGGAGATAAAAGCTAATCTTTAATTGATAAGATTGGGTTCGTTGATCTGATTTCAAAAATTGGGTTTCTATTTGTATTTTCAAAAAGACCAACAATCTTTCTTGAAGCGAATGTAGATGTAAATTCAAGGACTCAATTTAAAAAAGCATGTCGAATTCACAAAGGTATCCTGATAAAAATGAGGAAATATCCGCATAGGACCCTGTTTTTGGATTAAGAGACTTGCGCGAAACATTGAAGTGAAATGACAAAATTAAACACTTTCTTAGCTAGTGAAGCTAGAAGACGAACAGATAAAGATTCAAACGGTGCCGTTGTGAATAGGGCAAATTCCTTTTTTTAACTTTACCTGGACCTCCCCTCTGTAAACGAAGTTAAGAACATGTTGAAGGTGTTGGGGTCGTACATCTGGAGGAAGGATTACTACTGGATGCTGGCAAGGATGCTCGCTAAATATTAACATATTTATATAATACATATATTACATATTAGCAATCTCTGTTAGGGTGTTTGTATGTCTGAACATAACTCAGAAACCCCCTAACCGATTTGCCTCAAATTTTGATTGGAGAACTCGGTAGAACCACGGGAATGTTCTTAGCTTAGTCTAAAAGTTTTGAAGTTGAGAAGGTCGACTTTTGTAGAAACAAACTTAGGTTCCAGGCAAAGCTGGGCTCCTGTGCTTATGATTAATATTCTTGAACAATAAAACAATTACTTTCATGTTTAGTTGCCACATAGAATAAAATGTCTCCTCCATCGCAATTACCATCAATATGAAATTTTGAAAAATAAAAAAATAAAATATTGGTTGTGTCCATCATTAATAAATAAATCCAATTTAGTCAAAAATATAAATTCAGAAAAAATGACCCACAATACAACAATAATATGCCCATCAATATCTTCCTCGTCCATCATATAAATATAAAATATAAAAATATAAATCAGTTTTACAACTATTTATGTTTATCCATAGAGGAATCGAGTCTTTGCCACAGACTAAATTTTTAAATCTTTATACTTTGTAACCTAATGGTGTAAACCACTAACGTTTCAAACTTAGGTTATTTGATCTATTAAAATTAATAGTTTGAAATATCTCAGGTATACAACATTGGGTTGCAAAGATATAAGGATTAGAAAACCAAATCTTGTGGCTAAGAATCATTTCCTTTCTTGAATCATCAAAAGAAACCCCGGATATCATCAAGAAACATTGTGTGTAGCTAGTACATAGTAAAAAAGTGAATTATTTATGTACATATATCAGCAATACAACAACAATAAATAAAACCAGTATTTATTAAATTTTAAGATTTTTTAAAACGTGATAAGATCTTTTTTAGGCAAATTTCTAACCCCGGTCATGAATGATTATTATATTCATTATTCTTTTTTCTTATTTGTAATATGTCGTCTCGTTGTAACATCTGGAAGTTTAAAACTCCAAAGGACTAATTACGATCATGTTTTTAACTTCTGTTCTGTTCAATTTATTATTCCTGCACCTGNTATGAACCCTCTAAACAACACCGTCCTATCCTCTTTCACATTGCCAACCCTCCTCATTCTCGTCCTATCCTCTCCCAGATATCCAACCGTCCTATCCTTCTCCACATATCCAACCGTCCTATCTCTCCCACATATCCATCTGTCCTATTTTCTCCCACATATTCAATCGTCCAACCCTCTCCCAAATATCTAACCGTCCAATCTCTCCCACATATCCAACCGTCCTATTTTCTCCCACATATTCAATCGTCCAACCTTCTCCCAAATATCTAACCGTCCTATCCTCTTCCACATATCCATCCGTCCTATCCGTCTCCACATAACCAACCTTCCCATCCTTCTCCACATATCCAACCTTCCCATCCTTCTCCACATATCCAACCTTCCCATCCTTCTCCTCATATCCAACCGTCCTATCCTCTCCAACAGATCCATTCGTTCTTTCCTTCTCCACATATCCAATCGAACCTTCCTATCCTCTGCCACATATCCAATCTTCCTATTCTCTCCCATATATCCAACCCTTCTCCCACGAATCTAACCCTTCTCCCTCCTGTCCTATCTTTACCCACAAACTCAACCCTCCTACCTCCCGTCCTATCTTCTATCTTCTCCCACGAATCCAACCCTTCTCCCTCCCGTCCTATCGTCTCCCACGAATCGTAGAAATCCAATATTAAATAATTGTTACCTAAGAACCATCTCGAAGTACGGAGAACAAGCTCCAAGTAGGATCTTGTGTGCCTGATCATTCCAACCAGTCAAACCTTTGTTTCCAACCCTACCCGGAGAAAAGTGTGTCATATTGATTTTAACAGAAATACTATTTTAATAAGTAATTACCCTACTTCCAGCTAAAGAATAAATAATACTATGAAATAAAATCAATTCAAAGTACGAATAATCAGCGAATATCATGGCAAAATTATACCAACGATAAAAAAATGGATTATACCTATTTTTTTCGTCAAAAATTTAACCCTTTAAAAACATTTAAACAGTAAATCGTTTCAGCCATGGGTTTCTTTACAAAATCTGGAATATAATGCTTAATAAAAAATAACATTTTTATCTTGTTAACTTGGATAACTAGATTTAAAAGAATAAATGATTAAAATAGTTTGACTGGTTGAATTCCTTTATTGAAGAAGCAATCTCTATCTCCGTCTCTCCGCACACCAGAGTTACATCAGCGAAGGATTCATTGGACAGAATTCTGTCAAACACTGTCATCATATGACCCTAGGATAGAATCATAATATGAATTATCATTTACGAAAATTTACGAAAACAATAAAATAATATTGGATGAAACTTGCCTCATAGTTCTTCCACTTAAGATTGTACACTTGTGCGTCCTCCATGGTTGGTTGAGAAGGAGATCTTGCTCCAGGTAGGGATAAAGTACTGGAAAATCTGAATCTTCTCGTAGGTTAGAGTTTAGTTTTATTTTGTAAATCCAAATTTTTACAAACAGCAATAGTCACTGTATGGGATAACCCGGTGTTGTACCCCTCCAGTTTTAGTTCCTACATGGAGTAAACTGTTTGATACTTGTTCTGTTTTGATTCTGATACCGGGGAATTTAAACACAGAGTCCTGCTCTAAATATAAATAATTATACTACGCGAATATTGAGCGACTAAAAGAAACTGAGAATAGAATATTCAAATCATGAGAATATATTTCTCTCTCTCTCTTCACTCTGGCGGAGCGCTCTCTCCGTCCCGTCCCTCCGTATCACAAAGAATTATAATTCTCACGGCTCATATTTTTGTATGATCGAGTACTCAGAGCCTGAGCAGTGTATACTGACAAGACATCTCAGCTGAGAAACCGGTTTTGGGACTGTGAGGAGGGGGGGAGATGGGTCTCAGTTTGGGTTGGGGATGGAGAGACCGACTAGCCAGAGTTGGGATGAATTTGGGGAGGGGGGAGAGTGAGGAGGGGAAGAAAGCAAACTTTCTCCTGGGTCTTCGGTTGCAAAGAAACACACTGCAAGGAAAAGAAAGAGAGAGAATGAAATTACTAAAAACGAATTTTACGGAAACAACGAGCTTTATGATTGCTCAAAATACAAACACAATCACCATTATTTCTTTAAATCATACTATATTGATTGGCACACCAAATTTCGTTGCAGATGCACTACAAGAAAACATATCTATAGAAAAATTGATAACTGTAGGACAAAGATAAGAAAATAGAATAAAATAATAATGCTGCCTGAAGTTAACTACCTGCTATATCGGTTATTATGAACGATTGAAGTGGAATCACGAGATGTATCTCCAGGCTAGAGAGAGAGTGAGAGAGAATGGGACGGGAAGAGAGAAGCGGAGATACTGAGAACGGGCGGGAGAGGAGAACTAAACAAAAACAGGAAAGGGAGAAAGCAGTAGATAGAGACTAGAGACTAGAGAGGGGCGGAGATAGGGGGAAAGCAGAACAAAGAATAAAGAAAGCTTGATAAATGATTGGAAAGGGAATANGGGGTAACGGGTTTTGTTATAATAAATTGTTAATTCTTTGTCTTTTTTGGTCGGGTCTATACTCGATACCGCGATATTCTCAATTTTTTTATAAGTTTTTCATCAATATGATACAATTAAATTAGTATTAATGTAAAATGTATCCACAAAACATATCATCTAAATTAAATGAAGCATATGATCAGTGTTTAAATTAACAATAAAAAACATCGTATATATATATTTATTCAAACACACAATTGTAAATTATGATAAAAGTAGACTTGTAACAGAAACTTTTGAAAATATGATTTTGCAAAAAACCTTCCAAATAGGAAACATTTCTTAAAATGTTCTAAATAGAGAAACCAAATTTAAACTCAATGTTCCAATTAGAAAACAATTCCAAAGATGTTCCAAATAGAAAAAAATTCCAAAGATGTTTCAATTAGAAAACAATTCCAAAGATGTTCCAATTAGAAAACAATTTCAAAAATGTTCCACTTAGAAAACAATTCCAAAGAAGTTTCAAATAGAAAAAAAAATCCAAAGATGTTCCAATTAGAAAACAATTTCAAAGATGTTCCAAATAGAAAGCAATTCCAAATAAAAACAATTCCAAAGATGTACCAATATGGAAACCAAATTCAAAAGATGTTCCAAATATGGAATCCATGAATTTAAACTCGATGTTCCAAATAGAAAAAATTCCAAATAAAAACAAATACAAAGATATACTGAATATTGCAACCAAATTCCAGAGGTCTTCCAAATAAGAAACAGTTCCAAAGATGTTCCAAATAGAAAAAAATTCCAAAGATTTTCCAAAAAGAAAAAAATTCCAAATAAAAACAATTCTACAGATGTACCAAACAGAAAAAAATTCCAAAGATGTTCAAAATAGAAAAAGATTCTAAAGCTGTTCCAAATAGAAAAAAATTCCAAAAATGTTTTTAACAGGAAATAGTTCAGTTTGTGTTATTAACAAGATTTTTTTATACAAGGCAGAAGAGTGTAACAATGATTGAAGTCTAGAAATCAGGAAAAGTGTACCAAAATGATACTGATGTTTATAGCTTAGTTAGGATGGTTTAGAATGGAAATAAACCAATTTAAAACGAGCTTTTGGTTTTGTTATAACACTCCTGTATAACGAGTCCATTAGCGCCTGATCCAATCAGGGTATACAGTCATGTGTTTGATGTCTATTCTGGACCAACAGAAATGGTTTGGCGGTAACATCTATCTTTCTATCTATCTCATCAGCCAATCGGAGTTATGAATCCTTCATTCGGCCCTATCAGTAAATGGAAATATTTACTTCTACTGGTACTATAGTGATATGATGATATACCATGTAAATTAAACCAATTCAGTATGAAGTTTTGGTTCAGTTAGAACGGTTTTACTTAAGAATAAACCAATTCAAAACAAAGAATTGGTTTAGTTTGAATTGTTTAGCATAAAATAAACCAATTCAGTATGAAGTTTTGGTTTGTTGGAATTGTTTAGCATAAAAATAAACCAATTCAGTTCAGTGTGAAGTTTTGGTTTAGTTTGAATTGTTTAGCATAAAAATAAACCAATTCGAAACAAAGAATTGGTCTAGTTTCAATGGTTTAACATAAAAATAAACCAATTTCAAAACAGAAAATTGGTTTATTAAGAATGGTTTTACTATAAAAACAATTTTAAACACAGGATTGGTTTAGTTAGGAATGTTTATCATGAAAATATAACAATTGAAAACAATTAGGTCTTGTGAAGTTATAATATAGTTTATCATGAAAATAACCAAGTTATAACAAAGAATTGGTTCATTTAAGAATAAACCAATTCCAAACAAAAAATTAGTTTAGTAAGGATGGCTTTACTATAAAAACAATTAAAAACAAAGGATGGGTTTAGTAAGGTTTATTTACCATGAAAATAAACCAATTCAAAACAAGGAGTTGATTTGGTAAGGATGGTTTACTATAAAAAAAAAACTATTGAAAACAAAGGATTGGTTTAGTGAGGATTGTTTACCAATAAAATATACCAATTCAAAACAAAGAATTTGTGGAGCTAACATAGTTTATCATGAAAATATACCAATTCAAACAAAGGATTGGTTCTGTTATGATAGTTATCATAAAAATAAACCAAATGAAACAAAGGAATAGTTTTGTTAGGATAGTTTTTACGAAGATAAAACCAAATAAAAACAAAAGAATGGTTTTGTTAGGATGGTTTATCATTAAAATAAACTAATTCATAACAAAGAATTGTGTTTGTAAGGATGGTTTTCCATGAAAATAAACCAATTCAAAACAAAGAATAGGTTTAATTAGGATGGACTTACATAATAGGATAGTTTATAATAAAAGTAAACCAAATGAAAACAAAGGAATAGTTTTGTTAGGATGGGTTTTACGGAAAATAAACCAAAAAAAACAAAGAATTGTATTAGTGATTAGGATGGTTTACCATAAAAATATACCAATTGAAAACAAATAATTGGGTTAAATAGGACGGATTATTATGAAAATAAAGGTTGGTTCTGTTAGGATGGTTAATCATGAAAATAAACCAATTCAAAACAAATGCTTGGTTCTGTTAGGATGGTTTATCATGAAATAAATCGATTGAAAACAAACAATCTGTTTATAGCTAATTGGTATGGCATGCTACAGGACGGATTCAAGTAAACAAAAGGTATGTTTAATTTTAATGAGAATAATATTATTTTTTATTCATTCAAACATGTTTTGTACAGTTTATTATATATATCATTATGAATTTATTACTATATATTATACCTTCTCTACCAAAATATGTTTAATACGAGTGAAGTAATTCACAGAAACAAAATGGAGGGAGAAGCATTAATATCGTAATTTATTTCCACCCCTCCATAGAAAACATTACTCATCTTCAGTTTCAATATTTAATAACTCTAATAACATTATTTCTATTCTTTGTATTAATATATATCGATATAATAAAGCTCTTCGCTCTTATACATTATTTGTATATTTGTATGTATGTTAGCTATAGCTGGCCAAACGGCTGGCCAAAATTGGCAAAATAATGTGTTCAAAGTTTGACTTTTTTTCTGTTAAAATTCAATTTTAATTTTGTTTCAATTCCTGTTTGCAAAATTCCACGGGCAAAGCCGGGCACTTCAGCAAGTAATATACATAAATGTTTAATTCAACTTCAAATTGTTATTTTACAAAGAAATATAAAATGCTTCATACCTTTCTGCAATCTTCAGTAGTTTTCTAAATTAGCTAGCTTGGGAACCCAGCTTTGTTTGGAAACTAAAGTTTCGCTTTAAAAGTCAACCAACACAATTTTCAAACCAAGCTATAAGAAAAGTCCCGTAGTTCTGCCGAATTCCCCAATCAAATTTGAGGTAAATTGGTCAGGGGGTTTATGTATTATACATCAAATATACAAAAAAAAAAACAGACAGAAAACATAGATTACTACTACATATATGAATATATGTTTTTTAATTGGAAATTTTCAGCCTGACCACGCCCTCCAAATCAGATCGAGGAATATTTATTTTGATTTTGCAAAAATTTTGCAAACATTTGTTACAAATGCGAATACGTAATTAGAGGCAAATTAGTAAAAATATAGAAAGTAGGCGAAGCAGGTATATGTGTATGTAATCTTCTTATTTTCGTACTATATTTTCCTAACCTTTTAAAAAGTTTAAGTTCTTCTTTATCGTTTTATGAAAATAAAACAAAAATCAAATTTATCGAGGTCTTTATATTAATTATTCTTGCAAGACAGATCTGTTTAACTAATTTGAATAAAGATTTTGGATAATTCTTTTTGCTTGGAAATGTGAAATAATTAAGGTTTTTCATCTTAAATAACTCAGGGATCCTAAACGGTCAGAATTATAGTCTATATTGAATAAAACAAGATTTAAAAAAAATAAAATGCGTTAATATTTAATGCAAAATTAAGTTAGTAATTACTTCGAATGATGATGATTGCAATTTTGTTTTTTGAAAATTTCAACTTTAAGATAAAAAATTGTTACATAACTACATACTGCATTGTATCCAACTATCTTACACACAAATTAAAGGCTAAATTTTGAAATGCATACATTCTATAAAAAAAAGATGTCTTGTTTATTTTATTAATTGTTTTTGTGTAAACAGAATAAAATTTAGTTTCAATTTTGTTTTCTCCATATTATGATCTGAATCCTAACCAACTTATGGGAACAATTATTTTATTTCCGCACATTTGTACCTTAGTAAAAAAAAATCTTTCATAGGCAAACATAACAACATCTTTATATGAGTCGTTAATTGAAATGAAATCTTTAAGACCTACAGTTGACTAATCAATTCAG